CCCCAAAACCCCAAAACCCCAAAACCCCAAAACCCCAAAACCCCGAGGTAGAGTGAACAAGTGGAATAGAGATTTGAACATAATACAATTATCTAAGGAATTTTTCAAGTCTTTCTTCTCCGTAAATCTCTCCTAAAATTCCAAATTTCTTGTGGTCAACTGCATAAATTGATGGAAGTCTCCATTTGTTGTATTTGTCTCCATATCTAAATTAGATGAAATAAGTTAAATTGTTGTTGTGTAATGTCAAAACCAATTTTGACTTCCTTAAAGCTTCAATATTACGTACTTATCTCTCAATTCTTCAATGTTGCTGGGGAGGTAGCCAGACCTATCTCTCGCAGTCATCAAGCTTTCTTTTCTTCTTTGTATAATACTCTTCATTGGTCCACTTGTGTTGATAGCTTCTCTCATATCATCTGCATGCTGCAATTTGTATCTATGTAGTCTATTGAGGAGGTCTTCGGACACATCTTCATCATTCAAACCAGAGAGGTTCTCTCCAATACGGACAGCATCAGGAATATTGTGAGATATTCCAAATTCAATGAGGTCACTGCCTACATTGGCCATTCTTCCTGGCTCCATTACTCCAAATACATTCCTGATAACCTTGATTTTGTGTTCATCTAAAGATACAACAAATTTCTTACCTGATTTGTTAGATTCAAAGTTGCTTCCAGTTCCATAGTCAAGCTCCTTGAGCAGGTTTCTCTGATATTCAAGATAAGCCTCAAAGATCTCGTTTTCAAGGTCTTTTTCATGGGGCCTCTTCAGGCTGGTATTAGTTTTAGAATTCTCAAGAGTATTTGTATAAGCCTGCTCTAATTGTATCATTGTTCTCTCCTTGTTCTCTAACTCTTCACAGATGTTGTCAAGTTGATCGACTACTTCATTCAGAACCTTGGAGGAAGCATTTGGAAGCTGAAGTGTCTTTTCAGAATCTCCAACAAGTCCTTGTCTGTGTAGCTTCTTGATATGGCTATAAGATGGAGAAGTGCTGTCATTAAGAGAATATTTAAGCTTTTTAATTTCATCATTTAGCTTCTGTCTAAATTCAGGATCTGCCATTTCGATTGAGTCAGCATCAATCTCTGAGCTATTCAAGGTGTGGGTATGGTTAAGCTCAATATTTTGGATTCTATTGAGCATTTCAAGGGCAACTTCCAAGCTTTCTTCTTTCTGCTCTCTAATTCAATCTTCAAGTTGATGCTTAAGAGTGACAAGAGTAGTTTCATAAGCTCTTCTTCTTGCTGGATCAGTTTCTGTAGGTCTTAAGCTTAATTCCGCGTGGTTTTCCCAATAATCTTCGTCAATATCCTTCATAGAGTATTCATCATCAGAATAATAAATCTTTTCATATCTCATAAACTCCTTTGGATCCTTCTGATTTTGACGAATAAACTCATCTGATTTCTTGGCTTGTTCTTCGAAATGATTGAATTGTTTATGGAACTCATGCTTATATTTCTTGTCCTCTTTCTCATACTAAAATAATAAGTAAATCCTTACAATAAGATCAGTGGGATCCATTTTGTGGTTTGTTGGTTCACTCTCATCTCCTACATATTCAAAATCTTGAGCAGCTTTCTTTTCTGGAGTCAGGGTGTTTTCTTTTCTCTCATTAAGAGACTTCATCCCAATTTCATAAGCTTCTCCAAAATCATTCTTTGGAGCTGATGGAGAGGTCAAAGATGTATGATCAAGTTCAAAAATATCTTTGTTATTCGCTGCCAAAGGATACTCAGTGTAAGGTTCTATTGATGTTTAGAAATATTTACTTTCGTATTCGAAATCTTCTTCACCTGAACCGGCTTCTTCAACTTCTTGTAGAAACTCTTCGTACTTATCATCCCCATAGAGATCTTTGTAGAAATCATCAGCCAGAGAGCCTATAGAAATGAGGTGAGAGATCTTACCTTTTTGGACAAGATCGCCGCTGAATGTGTCAAAGAATTCGAATGCTATATGGTCTTTAGAGACCCTGACATCATCTTTGCTATGGCTTTCCACAGTATCAATTAAGCTAGAAATATGCTAAATGGTTATGAGTTTAGAATACATCAACGGCAGCAATCTTTTTAATAGATTCCTTAACTGTCCTATCATCTAAAGCTTCAAAATCTATGGATAGGTCTATATTATGCTGTGCCTAGAGGTTAGCCTGTCACCAGTACTTTTAGGTTGTTTTTGGTCAAATATTGGTCAATCTAAAGGTTAATGCATGAAAAGTACCTTATGCTGTCTGAATTCTAACCACTCTCTTTTCATCTCATCCCTGAACATTTCGTCTAAATTATGATGTTAACCTGATGGAGGGCTTTCACGAGCATACCATAGATTCTCTTGAAATATCTAAAAATTATATAGAAATCCTACTTTTCTTTCTTGAATTTGCCATCCATTGGAACAGCTGAACGTGGAGCTAAAGATTATTGCCAAAATGTACTGAAAGCTCCGAGAATCTTGCTGGGTGCAATATCTCTATCGTAATCCTCAAAGTTATCCTGGAACATCTCTCTGACGATTTCACTAATCTCTGTTTCTGCGTCTCTTTTGATTTTGTGACCGAGCAATTTTTGTCTGACAAAATTTTCTTTCTCTTTATCAGTAGTGCCTTTAGCAAATGCATTGAATTCTTTCCTAAGATTTTGATATTCATCTTCAGGGAAATAATCTCTGAAATCACTGATATCGAAATGATGGGTGGCAAAGATATTGAAATTCCTCAATTCCATTGAAGTTCTATATTGATATGATAAAAGCATAAAATCTTACAAGGTTGGTTCGGTGTTCGTATTGATTTGAAAATCTTTCTTCTCAATCATTTCTCTTATACTCAGTTGATCTGGAGGAAGAGATTCTTCGAGTTCAGGAGTTTGGAATTTTGAAAATAGAGGGTCCTTTTCACCATTTTCATCTTGGTGTAATAAATTCTTCGTATTCTCATATTCTTCAGCTAACTCTTTGATGAATTCCTCCCCTAATTTTTCTTTAATGGTTGGTTCTTTATGACTAAAGATTTCAACCATTTCCTGATATTTCTCCTTTGCCTCTTCTTCTTGTCCTTTCTTGAAGTGTGCTAATTCCATAAAGGTCTCAAGTGAAGGGAATTCAGAGTAGTTCTCAAGACTATTAATGTGAATCTTTTTCTTCTCAGATCCAGATTCCTTTGAGGAACCTTTAGCTTTTCCTTTAGCTGATTTATCTGATGATTCTATGTCAATAGTCACCGATCCATCAGCTGATTTGGCATTTTCCTTGCCAGAGGATTGAGTAGCATCAGCTTTCTGTAAGTCTATTGGAGAGCCAGGGATTAAGTTAATCATAGTTTCGCCTTTATGAACATGCTTTTGTAATTTCTTCAGATCATTCTTTGAGAAATTGATGTCCTTGTACTCATTTACTGAAGGATGATGGAATACAAAGTTTCCGTTCATATCTTGGCTTAACAAATTCATTCTTTGAAGGAACTCTAGCTTATCATAGTAGAATTTTCTAATGAAGAAGTAGTACTTCCTGAATTCTCTAGATTTCATCATTGCTTGCAACATTTTATCCTCATTCTAAAGGGTTCATTGAAGGATTTACCGAATTTTCTTTGAAATTCTTGAACAATTTATTGTCGATCTCAGTTTGAGCTAATTTAGCCACTATTCAAAGTTAGAAGGACTTATGAGATAGATTTACCTATTTCAGTGAAATATTTATGATCTTCAAGCAACTTGGTATTATCTACTTCAATTCTTTCTCCAGTTGAGTGATTGATAAAATATGTCTTGCCTGGCTCATCTTCCACAGAGAAGTAATTCTCAAGTCTGTCAGAGAAGATGTTCTTGGTTGACTCTAAATTTTAGAAAATAGCTCATACCCTCCATAGCAATACGAGAGTTCTCTGATGTATCATATGATTTCTTTAGCTCTAGAGGAATTCAAATTATTTCTTACTGAGCAATAAGCTGTCAATATGTCTTTTCCTGACCCCTCCAGATAGCTTGTCTGTATTATATTTGTCAAAGAATTCTTTGCTAGCTTTGTCATCTTTCTGAATGTGCTTTAGTTCGGCTATAGATTAGTATTAAATAGTACCAAGGAGATGCTCTGGTCTGTCTTCAAAGTTAACCCCTTCTTTAACTCTGATAAAATCTAAAATTTCTTTATATGAGGTCAGTGGGCTCAAAATTCTGGCCTGCCTTGCTGCTGTTAATTGTTCTTCACTGAAATTGTAGTGCTTTTCAAGTGAGGTAATAGGGCCTAAGAGTTAATATGTTATGCTTACTCATCAAATAATCGTATTGTGAGGCAATCTTCTGGATAGCTTCCTTAGCCTCTGTATTCTCGAAATCAAATCCTAGATCCTCAAGCTCAGAGAGGTCGAGGTGTTTGAACATGTCTTGAGAGTGATCACTCATGAAAAGAGCATCATCTTCTTTGATTAGGTGCTTAACTCTTTCATGAAGGACTTCTTTCCTGGCTCTAATAGAGTCAAGTTTCTTTCTCACTTCAGGCACAAGGAGGAAGTATTTGTTCGTCTATAAAGTTTACCAGAATTCTTACAAGTGTGTCAAGGTCATCATATGGCTTCTTCACATAATCAAACAGAATTTTTAATGGATCATTTGCCTCTTTGAGAGTGGAAAGATTGCTGGATGATTTGTAGATCTTTGAATAGGCTTCAATTTTATTTCTAATGCCCTTTCTGAGAGTTTCCTCTTCCTTATTCACCATGAGATATGTGAAAAGTTGGTCGATATTTTTAAAGTCTTTGTCTTTCACAGCAGCTCTAATCATCTTCATAAGCATCATTTGTTGAGTGTTGTTCTTAAGAGTTTTCATCATTCCATAGTGTTTCTCTTTGAAATCTGTGTAACTAACAGGCAAGTTGGCTTTGATGTCAATCTTCTTATATTTCTCTTGAAGTAATTTCCTCTGGTACTCTGACACTTGAGATGCTTTTTCAATATCTCTCTTGATTCTTTCCTCTCTTTCTTTGAGGATATCTGGGAAGAAGTCAACATGAATGTCATTGGACTCTGATCCAAAGCAATGATCGTAGACATTGGTGTAATATTTTTCAATAGCCTTCTTCCTGTCTACTTGAGCTTTCTCCCCTTCATCAAGAACTCTCAAGGCTGAATCAATGTCTCCTTCTTTAAGAAGTGCCTTTATAGTGCAAGCAATGTAGAGGTCACTCTCCTTCTCTTGCTTTGTTTTGAATAATTTCTGAACTTGGCTACTGTAGAAATCAGGAGTTCCATCAGACTTCAAGTTGCAAATAGCTTCAGTGATGTAATGATTCTTGAGTGGTCCTGATAGTCCTCTCATCTCTTCAACCATACCATGCTCTTTCATGATTGATAAGAGAAGTTCATTAGTTTTCTCAGAGGGCTGAAAGATTTCTCTACTAGATACTCTATCTTTTAGATTCTTAAGATATTTAGCAACTGCTTCTTTAGAATATGAAGGAGGGAGTTTTCCGTAATTCCTAGCTTTATAGTTTTCTAAGTGATTCTGTATAAATCTTGTGAAGATTCCTCTGTCGCCATAATTGAGAGAAAGCTCTATAACTGAGTTTAAGGAGTTAGGTTCGTCAAATTTTCCTGCATAGTAGTCTGCAACATCATTTTCTCTAATAAAGTTGTTCACAAGCTGTGACCTATCCATGAATGGGACAGTGTATTGAGTAAAGTAATTCACAAATTTCTCCATTAAGTCCTGCTTAGTGTGATTATCCACAACTCTGTTAGAGCTAAGGACCTCATTTGAGTTCATCTTTGAAGTATCACGTAGAGTCAGTCTCTTTACAATGTAGGAGAACAAATCTCTCATGTCAGCAAGGGTGTTATGAGGGAACATGATGCTGCCATATTCAGCAATCTCAGTCGGAGCAAGCTTTCTTAATTTATCTGGAGTCAGGTTAAACTCTCTGAACAAGCATTCTTGTCTGTATACGTAGTATTTCATGAATACTAGCAAATTGCTGAACTTAAAGTTATGGTTAAGGTAGTATTCAAGACTTGACTTGAAGGGATCTAAGTTCAAACTTGTAATTTTCAACTTCCTCTCTTCAGCATAGTTGATCAATACACCAAGAGCTTTGAAGTTATCTCTTCTGACGAACAGTTCAAAAAGATCTTTAAAGAGAGCAAAATCTACAGGAAGGAAGCTATGAACTTCTCCTGATTCATTCTGAATTCTGGCTTTCTCAATAACAGATTCCAAACTGTCCAGGGCTAACGCATCATTGTTAGAAACTGTAGCGTACTTCATCAGAAGGGTGAGCTCTTCAACAGTACTTGGAGTGAGCTTGGACAAAATAGTATTGATTCTATATGATCATAACTAAGTTCTTACTCATCTGTGATCTGAACATCTCTCTGTCCATTCTGGAGCTTAAGTATAAGTGTCTCTAATCTTAGAAGATCTTTGTCCTTTCCTCTATAAATCTTGGCAACATGCTTTGGTCTGTTTGGAGTTTGCTCAAGATTATTGAAAAATCTGAATGTTGAAGGCTTGACTGTAGATGAAGTCGCTAGACTATAACAATATCTTAATTACTGTTCTCTTCAAGTTGATACATCTTGTGGAGGTCTTCGATCATCTTCAGCTTGTTTTTCAACTGAACTCTCTTTTCAAATATCTGCTCAATCTTGATATTAGCAATTGTACTAAGCATGAGCTTGTTTTGTCTTTGATGTTCAAGATATGCCTCATCTTTCTTGTCTAATTCTGAAAGTCTTTTCCCTTTAACATCCAAGAAGTCTTGGATCTCATCAGCAGATAAGGTAGAATGGCTTTTAAGAAGTCTATCAATCTTAATGTATTCTGCAACTTCAGCTAAATGATAAATGTTGGTCTAGAATACCTTGTTTTGGATCTTGACTTTTAGATTTGTATGTGTCTCTAATGAGAGGATTCATAATTCTAGATTGCTCTTTATAGGTACCAAGTAAGTCGCTCATGATGGAATCAACTTCAGCTTCAAGCTTGACCTGGAACACATCTTTTTCATATTCCAGTTGCAATTTTTCATATGCAGAGCGCTCCTCTTTTTGGTATTCAACAGGCTCTGGCATAGTTAAGTTTCTCTTGGGATCTATAGTCATAAGTACATTGATCAGGACATTAAATTACTTTTAATTTCTTCTTGTTTGAGAAAAGCTTCAATAGTGAGACCTTTTTGAGATCCATATTTTTGAAAAGTGTTGACAAGTTCAGATTCAACACTCTTTAAGTATTCAGCTACGACGATTTTGGGTGTGTCTTTCCCAAACTTAGCTGGATTGAAAGAGTTTGCTCTAAAAAGCTTTAAATCCTGGTTGAATCAAAGGCTTACCTATCGCCTCCAGCATCCATGATCTTCTTGATGTGAGTAAAGTACATGCTCACAAATTCTTCTGGAATTTGCAATCTCGATGCCCAAACTTGTTGCTGATATGGGTTCTTGTGAATATTCAGATACAAGTGAGGACTAGAGGGTTATCAGAACTTTACTCTGTTTCGATCTCCAAAACTTCTGCAGTCTTATCTTGGTATTTTGGAGTGATTGAGAATGATCTCAAGAACATCTTATTCAGTCCTCCTACATGAATCAGCAAATGTGTCATACCTGGGTAAGAATATTTCTGTTGCACAAATTTGTGAGAGTAGCCTTGAGGCATCCTAAATGAAAATCAGACCCTCTTGGATCAGTTATTCATACTTAATTGATCTAGGGATGAGATGAGTCTTGCTTTTTATTCCGCTTATTCTTGACAGCATCTTCTATACCATATTTGAGCACAATGGAGTTTATAGTAATAAGTTAGGTATCTCTAAACCTTTGAAGGCAGTTATGAGAAGTTTCCTTAGAGTGTGTCCAACCAGTCACTTCTTATCAAAGGATCGTCCAAACACTGTTGGTAAAGTAAAGGAAAGATTTTGAGAGAATCCTATGAAAATCCATCTTGCTTACATTAAATTATTATAACTATTATTTATGTTCACAAATCAATATGTTTTAGATCGAATGGGGTTTTGGGGTTTTGGGGTTTTGGGGTTTTGGGGTTTTGGGG